CATGGCTGAACCATGAAAACCCTCAAAGTCAGCACCTAGTTTGAAACTAAGCAAACTCTTTTGGATTGTGCATGGCTGAGGGACTAGGCTGACTCTGACTCTGAGGAGCTGTGCCACCACCAGCAATCCGGGCAATGTCAGGGCAACTCCTGCCCCAGATCCTCCTTCAAGAGCACAGACTTTCACAGACCCATCCCAACCAACAGCCATGGGACACTGTTTGAAATAAAATCGACTGTTTTTTTTAATGGTTAGATGGTCACAAAGGTCATGCTCTCTGTCTGGGATGGAACCCAACAGGTTCATCTTTCAAACCAAAAGTGAGAACCAGAGTTCCAGACTGATCTCTGGGGCCCCAACAACCCGCCAAGGTCATGTTCTCTCTCTGCTGAGGTCAATTGCTTTATTTTGGAAGACGTAGTCCAAACCAGATGGTCTACAAGTTCTGCCCTTGGGGGAAATTATTTTCTCCTTTGCAACCCTGTTAGCCTGTTTTCCCACCTCACAGACCGGGGGTGTGGGGAGGGCTGCAGAATTCGTCAGCTCCAGCCCATAGCCATCACCTTCCTCTGGGGGTTACTGATGAATCCACGGTGCTGAGTGGCCAGTGCTGGAGTCTGAATCGGGCTGGGATGTCATAACTATTTATAAACTGCCTGGATTGTGCCCCTGGAGGGACCCGTCAGCAGAAGTGCACTGCCTCGTGCTTTTGAGCTTAACCTGGCAACAGACATCGACGGGAAACATTATGTGGGAATGTATCTGCTGCTGTTCCCTCCACATCAACACCCAGCAACTGGGCTGTAGGCTGCTAAAATCCAGAAGTTTCACAACTGTGCTGTGTTTTGCCAAATGGCACCAGGTTAGCCTGGGAGTGGGGTGGTCTTAATACCTCCCAACTTCAGAGAGATAAGGGACCCAAGGTCGTCGGTTGTAAGCATTCTGCGTAGTGAAGCCTCCTGATTGAATTTATTCACAGCCATTCATGAGAGTTAACCCCAGGCAGGTGGTTTTGCCAGTTTCCTTGTGGCTGCCTCTGAGGCCACCAGTGACTGGGGCAGGCAAAGTCTTCTACAGTAAGCCAAGCTGTTTGCAGGGTCATACGCTATCTCAGAACCCTATGTTCCCCTCCTAAATCCCCATCTATGACAGGCTCGGGTCTCCCCTTTGTGCCTGAGCTGGTACTGGGCACATTCCCACAGGTTGCCTCCATCAGATTCACTTACCTTCTCACCTCTGCTGGATGTAGGAGCTGCCATATCTCTTTACTGGACCCGCCACGGCAGGAAGGAACTCGGAGCACCCAGCATGTTTTACAAATTCTTGCGGCACACCGTTTGAAAAAATCACTGGTCTATCTGATAACCCAGACGGCTACTAAGTGACTAAGGGGGTGGAGAGGATCAAATACAGTGCGGCTACACTGGACAAAGCGATGATTCATGTCCCAAGTGGGATGGAGCAGACATTGTAAGATTTCATCACACCACTCAAGACTGTGTGCAATTGAAAACTTATAATTGTTTATTTCTGGAATCTTCCATTTAATGTTTTTAGTCTGTGGTTGACCACAGGTAACTGAAACCACGAAAAGCCAAACTGTAGAAACATTATACTGTATTTACCTTCTCCATAAGCCCAGTGGCAAGCCTCCATCAGGGGGAATCATGTCCAGCCCCACCCCTGCCCCACCATACCCACAATCCTTCGGTGCATGTGAATGTGGGGGTGCAGAGTCAGGAGCAAAGGTAGAAGACAGAAGTCCAGAGGCCCAGGGAAAGGACACCGAGGATCTCAGGCCTCTTATCTCTCTTCCAGGCCAGAGCAGGACACCTCTGTCTCGTATTAAATGTGTCTGAGGAGGCTCTGTCACCTAAGAGAGATGTGCCCGTGGCCCACAGAGCCCTGATTGCCCCAGGCCTACCTGGTAAAGCGTGGGATTTCGTCATTGATGTTCACGATGTTCACCCGCAGCGATGTGGAGGCTCTGAGCCCTTGGCTATCCCTCACTTCCACAGTGAGGTGGTAACTGTCAGGAGAACATTCCAAGTGTGGGAGTCAAGCTTTGAAATGTGGGGTGGGAGGAGGGAGGAGGGAGGAAAGTCTGTTCCCTTTCTGCCGCCCCCTCCAGGTGCTCCTGCAGAGTCCGGCCTGCTATGCCCACCCTTCTTTCCCCACCTCTAAAACCCCACTCCTGCATTTCTCATCCTGTAGGTATCATTCATGGCCACCACCTCACATGTGCTCATGCCCGCCATCTTGCACACTCCATCTCCCTCATTCCTCACAGCAGCTCTGCAAAGTGTGCACCCATGTGAGGACACCGAGGCACTAGCCCCGGTTCTCACAGCCCGTGCAGAGCCAAGAGCCTGTGTGTTTTCATCTTCAAACCCTGGCCTCTCCTCACGGCTTTTCTCGGAGGCCTGCTCACTTCCACCCTGCTGCTTTCATGTTAGCAAAGAGCTCTGGCAGCTGCCTCTCCCCATGCTTTGGGTGCCCTCTCCCACACCGTCATTCTTATTACACGCAGATGAAGATTTTGGATGGGGAAGGAGGCTTTCCATATCACTGCCTTATTCCCTTTCCAGGGCTCCCTTCCCTCTTCACTTGGCAGGAAGGCAGCAAACTGCTCAGGGCCTCCCTAGCTGCGCTCACTCAGCCTGCACTATGCCTGCTCCTTGACCCTCAGATAAAGGAACTTCAAGCAAGGTCGTCGGCAAAGGCTACCTGTTATGCCCTGCTTCAAAGTCAAATCCTGTTGTGGAGAAGAGGGTCCCATTAGCAGACATGCTGAAGCTCTTCGAGGGAGAAATCAGGAAATACTAAAAAACAAGGACAAAAAGAATGTGACTAAGCACACTTATCTTTCCCCAGAAGACATGTCTGTTCGGTTCCCATTTTATATTCTTGGCTCATGGAACATTCTTGATGCATCAGGATGAAGCCCAAACAGTGAGTTCTCAGGCTTAATAGCGCTTGAATCAAGAAACGTCTGGATCCGTTGGTCTGAGCCTCTGACCCCGACTTGCCACACCCCGAGGAGCTGGTCTCTGAGTCCTGCTGTAGTTACAGAATGCATATGAAAGGCCCTGCCTGGGCCCCCTGCTTCTGAGCCCAGTCTCCTTTTCCCTGTCACAGCATTCTCACTGCCGCCGCCCAGGCCCACTTCTTTAACCAACACCGTTTAAACACAGCCACCATGCCTACGGGAACAGGACAATACTAAAGTAAATGAGATCTGGTCTTTATACTTAACCGAACTTATGATAGAGTGGGGGTGCAAAACATGTTCATAAGCATCATTCATTGAAATAATGGAAGGGCCAAGGGAAGGACAAGTGTGAGAGAAAATGAAACTTAATGGAGCCCAAGTTTGAAGCTGGTTTGGAGAGATAGAAGGGCTGTTTCAAAATCTGATCTGAGGGTTGTGGCCACTGGTCAAGTCGTCCAGTGTCCTGGGGACTTGAGAGTCTTCGACCTTCTTGGCTTCCAGTGCCCAGTCCAGCTCTCTTGATGACCTTCTGCCCAGCACCTTTGCTCCGACAGGAATATAGGCTTATTTGTCCAGTCCACGAAGGGCCTGCTCATAGGAGGACCACCCTGTGCTCTCCACAGTGCTCATCAAGATGGAGCCCTTGCTCCCATGATGGAGTCAACAATGCAGGGGAAGGACCTGGATCAGAGGAGTTGAATCCAAATTCTGGTTGGGATGAGTCCCTTCCTTGCCTGTAATTTAGGGATGATACCACCAACTGCTTGTTCAAGTCACTGTGAGGATTAAATTCCAATGCACGCTGTAAAATGTGGAGGGCCACAGGCACACTGAGGCTCAGATGTCCATTTGTTCCAAAGGGCTTTAAGGTTAGAAGGTTTTATTGTTTCCTACATGGATGAGGGATGGCCTCTCCTCCAGGAGGTTTTGCAACCACAGCCATGGCCCCTGAGGTCTAGAATCAAAGGCAACACCAGCCAAGGATTCCAACCCAGAGATTTGGTATTGTCATCACAGCTGAGCTTCCCATCAGAGAAGAGAAGATGCACAGAAAAGACATTAAAGGTCTCCTTTGGGCATTTATAAGGTTTTTAAGCCATTTAAAAAAGTGCTTACTTTCCATTTACTATTTAATAACATTTTCCTAGTTGTAATGAATATATCTTTTATACAACAATTGGGAAAGACAGAAAAGTATAAAAAAGAAACTCAATTGTAGTCATCATTATTTTCATGGATAGCCTTATGCTCTTTTCTATGCAAACATACACCCTCCAAAAAACTGATGTTATAATATCTGCGCTTTTCATTTATAGCTTGAGCATTTCCCCATAGTCTTATATCTTATTTTACAGCTTGGCTGGTTAATGGTGGCACAGCGTTCTACTGTAGGGGGTATTTTACTAAATCTCTCTGGCTGGTCACTTAGAGAGGAAATATTTTTGAGGGGAACTATTTGGGCAATACCAAGGAGTGCCCTTCTCCCAGGCCCCAAATTGCATATGCAGTCAGCGGCATGACGTTTAAATCCCAAGCTCCCTCCCCCTCAACTCTCCTGCTCATAGCCTGGGAGCAAGGGCCTAGGCTTGCAGCTGCCTGCACATGGAGCAGTTCCATGTCTTTAAGCAGAGCCTTCCTGGCAGAGAATCCTCACGTATCCATAGGTCAGAGGTTCGCACTAGATGTGATACAATGGTTTATAGACCCAAGGGGGGCATTTTCCACATGCACCTAACCGGGGATGTCTTTTCACATGTTTTGAAATGCTCTAACAGTGGTCGGCAAACTGCGGCTCGCGAGGCACATGCGGCTCTTTGGCCCCTTGAGTGTGGCTCTTCCACAAAATACCACGTGCGGGCGCGCACGTACAGTGCGATTGAAACTTCGTGGCCCATGCGCAGAAGTCGGTATTTTGTGGAAGAGCCACACTCAAGGGGCCAAAGAGCCGCATGTGCCTCACGAGCCACAGTTTGCCGACCACTGCTAGGAGGTAGCTCTCCAGTTCTAGTTGGTCCCCCAACCATGCAAGGTCTTGGGATATGGAGATGACAGTCAGGTCCTGCTGTGCAAAAAGCTATGGTCAACTGAAGAAACACACGAAGAAGATGTGGGAGAGGCAGCCCAAAAGGGATAAACAGAGTGTGATGGGAAGAGGGAAGGAGGACGCTTAGGCCCGTCTGGAATGGAAGAGTCACAAATTGGGGCGGTGGAGTTAAGTTCAGTGGCTTTGGAGCCAGACAGCTGAATCGGAATCCTGTTTCTACCACTTTCCAGCTGTGAGAGCTTGTGCAACAAAGAGTAATAAAAGAGGGCATGCCCTATTGTGCAGAGTTCTAGAGCAGGGCCTGGTACATGGTAAGCCCTCCGTATATGTTAACTATCACTGTCCAGTTAGAATGTAAGATCCAGGAGGAAAAGGGCTTCATTTTACTCACTGCTATGTCCCTAGTGCTTAACACGTAATAGATGCTCAATAAATATGTGTTAAACGTTAAATATTGGGGTTTTCTTCTTGCCTGTTTCCCATCTGAGAGCAGCATTCCAAACTTAAAGGATCTTAAAATCTTTTTTGAAAATACAGCAACAAAAAACTTGTTAAACTTAAAAAAAATCTGTTTGAATTTGGTAATGCCAGTCTTGATTATGAAATCTTCTCCAGTTCTGTCTACAGCCTCAGCAAAAATGAACGAGAAAAAAGAAAAAGAAAAAACAGAGCCAGATAGAAAGAGTAAAACTGTAGAACTAGGAGCATGGGGAATCTTTATTAAAAGTCTGATTTCCTGGAATCCTGATTTTTTTTTTCTTTTAGCATCATGCTAATTTCCTTTATCCCTGAACTTATGAGCTTGAGTTAATGGGAATAGCAGTTTTGTACTTAGAAAGGAGATAATATCCATAGACTAAAAATATTGTGTCATGTGGCCATTTGCCAGCAATTCCAAAAGCTTTCTGTAAAACCTGGCATTCTCTCCCCTTTTTAAAGCCTTGTTTAATCAAGGCTGCTCCCTGGATATTCATTCTTGGAAAACAGAAATTAAATAGAATGAAAAGCAACTGCAGCCCCTCTCTGCTCCAGGACTGGCTAAGAAAAGTCCTGAGTAATCAGATCAATTCGGTTAACAAATGCTTGTCAGACAAGCTCCACAGTTTCCCCGCTGGGAATATTCCTTTACCACCACCCCAGGTTTCTCTCTCCGCAGCCCCTTGGCAGCTGCGGTTTGCTCACAGACACAAAAGCTTCAGTGTGGAAGGCGAGGAGGAGCCGTGCTTCCTGCCCCATTCACCCTTTATGGTGCCATTGGTGCTGGGAGAAAGGAGGGCGAGAGGGAGCTGGCCCAGTTTCCTGAAATGTCAGGCTCCCTGGGGAGGGCACAGCACCTCCGGCGGCTCCCCCACTGCAGTTGGAGTCACAGGCAAATAATGAGTCAACCTGTGCGGGTTCGCAGCCATCAGTTGCTTTCAGGCCTGCAATGGAATTGAGCTACAAGAATTCCGCGTCCTGTTTCCGAAGAACAGAGCAGTCAAGGTCCAGAGGGAAGGAAGGACCCTTATTCCTCCCAAGTCCAGGGAGTGCCAATGGCTGTAAGCCGCTGAGAACATGCCCCAGACCAGCGGTTCTCAACCTGTGGGTCTCGACCCCTTTGGGGGTCAAACGACCCTTTCACAGGGGTCGCCTAAGACCATCGGAAAACACGTATATAATTACATATTGTTTTGTGATTAATCACTATGCTTTAATTATGTTCAATTTGTAACAATGGAATTGGGGGTCACCACAACATGAGGAACTGTATTAAAGGGTCGCGGCATTAGGAAGGTTGAGAACATGCCCCAGACCCACCCCGAGGACAAGCAGCACAGGGCACACCTTCCAACCGGGCTGTCTCAAGTTACGTATATGATGCCACAATCCTATTATGTTTTTCATTGTATGCTGAATATTTTATAAAAGCCTCAATTCCTCCCTTTTCCCCTTTTCCCCTTTTCCCATCCCTATCCCAACTCAGAAGTGGGAGGCAAGGGCAGGGGGTAGTGCTTAGAAGAAAAAAATTACCATAAAAACCTTTACCTCAAGTCCTTAAGTTGGCCTGTTCATGTTGTATTATTATAAAGGTAAGCTAAATGGGTTATAGGCAAGAATTTGAATGTTCTTAAAAGAGCCACATTTGTAAATGCAGAATGCTATCCATAGCAATCCTTTACTGATGAAGCTGCAGAATCTATCTCATATTTTGTCATTCTTTTTTTTTCTTTTTAATAAACAGCCTAGGACCCGTTCTTTGATGTAGGCTTCGCTAATCGTAAGGACAATGATCCCCATCTATTGGAGAAAGCGTCTCTCCCAACGTACCAACAGTGGTCAGTGGTGATGTATTGGGAGTGGGAGTTGTCCAACTTCAGTGGTGGCTTCCAAATGGACAGGTAGGTGCTGGGGCCGCTGCGTGACTGGTGTGTGTCTGTGGGGAGGGGGAGGGCAGTGGAAGTGCATGGGGAACAGGGAGGGTGCTGTCACTCAGGAAAGAAAGGGTCAGGCACCAAAGTCAACATTTGTCAGAACACAGGAGAAGGGGCTGAGCAGGAGTCGGGTCAGAGACCTCAGCTCTCACTGGAGTGACCTGGCCCAGGCAAGGGCCTCACTCATCCAGAAATAAGTGGATCTGAAAAGTCCCATCTCCGGACAGTCACTATAAACTCAAGAAGATCAAAAGACACAACCCGCTGCCACTTCTCGGGGGCCATGCGCAAGACAGAGGCGGGGAGAGAATTCCTTTCCCTGTTGCCCTCCTGGTAGCCCAGCTACTAGCAAGGTTATTGCTCTTTTAATTTAAT